AATTCATTCAGCAGTTTAATTTATTTCGAATTATCTTTTAACTAGGCGCTGAGAAAAATGCAAATTTAGTAATTTTTTGCATTACATTCAAAATTTGGAAAGCAATAAAATAATGAATATGAAAACATAATGGAACTGCAATAACTTTGCTCTCTTCAATTTTTTTTTGAAGAAAAAATTCAAATGTTCTTTATCAATTGGCCCCTTTTTAGTCCGTGTTGATGAGCACAGCTGCAGTTATTTTCTCTAATGATGTTCTGAGTTTATTAATGTACACTTGAGACTTTGAGAGGAAAGCATTTCCTGAAGCACAGACATGAATTCTCTGTTGCCTTATATGTATGTTGCTTTATCTTGCTAGAACGCAGCTTCTCGAGATATGCAACACTGTCAAATTACACTACTGAAAAGTTGCGAGATTCAAAAAAAAATATAACTGTTGTGTAAAAAGAAAGAAGCTGGAGAGTGGAATGGCCAATAAACAACATTGTACATCTTATTGTTTTGTAAAATAAGTAAATATTTGTGTAATATTTCTTGTTGTTCTGAATGAGAAAATTAGCAGCAAATATAGAAAATGTAGACAGATTGAATATTTGAACTCCACAACTCTTAAAACTTCAAATTCACGTCTTCTTAAATTTGGTCTTTCATGTATTCAACTGTTTTTAATCATACCAAAGTATTGTACGTTATCATTATAATATGCAGCACAGAAGTCTTACTAATATTTAAGCGAGAGCTGTTTGTTAAGATTTTTATAATTTTTTTAAAGTGGTATTTCGATGTGCAAAAGCGATATGTAGTAACAACTGAACATCTATTTTAAAAGTTAGTAAAATTCTATACTTTTAGGTACAGTGGGGAAATCATGCGCCTAAAATAATATATTGTGCTAAAATAATATATTATGAAATTAATTGCAGAGACTATTGGTTTTTCCGAAGCGAGATCATGTTCTTGCTATAGGTTACTAAAACGAGTTTTTAGCTGAGAAGCCACTTCAGAATCTATATATTTTTTTCTAGGGGCAGAAAACAGGAAATATCGGCTAACCTTGTGGGAATTGAACCATTTTACAACAGCTAGTTAGATGATAAACAATTGTACCGCAAAGGAACACTATGGAACAAGAGTATTCCTTAAACATTACTAGTGGTCTAGAATTTTTTCCTTTAAAACAATTTAGTTTAACATTCTTAATGTAACTTTAATTTAATGAAAATAATTTTTTTATAAAATGAAATTTCTATTTCATTGTAAAACATAAATGGTTAGCAGTACTACGTAAGTGAATAAATGTAAATAATACATTAAATATATATTGTTTATGCAATAAAAAAACTTCCTTTAAAACATGTGTTTGAGTTCATGAATACCAGGTAGTCTAGAGCCCTATACGGCGGAAGACAGCTGTATGAGGAAGCAAAGAGACTAAAAGAATGCTTTTAAAAAACTAAAAGAAAAATTAATTTTCCGTGTATAGTGTATTGTTAAGGAATAAGATAAAATCCTGACATAAAATCGTTACCCAAACTATGGATCAGTTGGAAAGAAAATTTTAATTTTACAAAGTTACACAGATTTCCTGCGATTCGTAGGTAAAGAATTATTTCAAATTTATAATATAATTTTCTGAAGCAGAAAGGTACTCAGTAAGTAGTAAGCACAGATGGTTAGTTTCGGGGCTGAGATTTGCCAGCTAAGTTGTAGAAGTTCATATTTCATTTCACGTTGTATTAAGAAACAGGTGGTAACTTATCCTGAGCGATTACTAAGTGAAGTAACATTGTATGTTATGTAAGTAATGTGTTATGTAAACTTTTAAATAACTTTAATTTTATGTAAGTCGATTACGTAAATTGCTTAAATGTAACTTCATGAGAAACTTCTAGAATACACACACTCACACACGCACATAACAAGCAAATTTTAGATAGAACCAAAAACAAGCAAGTTAGAACCAACACAAGCAAATTTTATAAGGGAATCTGTGTGAAAAATGACCCACTGAGATGGTACAGGGAGCTGTTGAGCGGTACGTACAAGCGTTCTGCTGGCGTAAATCGTCATTCCCCGTGCGATTTTTGGGCGATATGCATCATTATACGAATGTGCATCTTGCCGAAATGCGCCTTTTGAAGAGGACTACCGCTAAAATGGAACTCGAAGGATGTACAGACAACGATTCCCAAGTACCTTCTTTGAGCTGTTGCTCCGTTTCCATCCGCAGCCCAATAGATAAAACACACATCGGAAAAATCCTCGCTCATGCAACGCTGCATACCGCTCGAAGTCCACTGACGCCAGCAGAAGTGTTTTATCTACCCTTACCACTTCAATGCGCCATTTCCGCACGTACATTCAGTTAAAAGATCTTATTTCTCTTTCCTCAACCTGCCTTTACATTTTTACTAGACATTTTAAAATTGCCCTTTGTCTGTTTCTCTCTCTTTGCGAGAGTGTGTATATATTAGTTACATAATATTAGTTTATAAATTAACTGAGCGAATATTGTTTGAATGTAAGAAATACTGGTTGGGAAATGAGGACTCGTTTACAGGGTCCTTATTTCTAACTGGTAAATTTCAGATTTAACGATACGGCTTTTACGCACTTACGTAGCTGCAAATTTACGTAGGTCGAGTATTACGTAAGTAGGGCGTTACTGCAAAGAATTTGAGAGAAATGTTCTAATCTCATAATTCACACACATTAAAATGCAGATTCCGTAACTACTGCATATACCATAATATGAAAGTTCCATAAATATCATCCACACTTGAATTTGCAAATGCCTAAACTAAGAAGATCAGAAGTTTTTAATCGATGAATCCTACAGTTGATGCAACAGGGATTATTCGCTAATGCATTCAAATTTCAGCTTCATAAAGCCATAATCATGTACTGATAAATATTAAATGTTTTATCCGTTTTTCTGCAGCTCTACGCAGCAATTCTATAATCCCGAGTATACTAGAATTGGAAATCAAGATCCATCTGAAAGATATCTTTGTATCATGAAGTTCTGCTTGTTGTTCAGGATTAATTCAGTATAAGGTGAAACAGATGAAAAGCAAAGTCACATCAAATAAGGATGGATGGAAGTTAAGTGAATGATGAATAGTTAACGAGGAGCAGTTTCAGTGTCAGAAAAGTTTTGGGTTTTACACCAATATAGAATATCTAATATGAAGCAAATGAATTTCTTCTTAGTTAAGATTTCTGATTTTATGAACATATAGTTAATGAAAATATGTAAATCATTTTCTTTCTACTGCTTAATATATCTTTATGCACAAAAAGGTGTAGTAGTTTAAAGAGTTTAGAAGGTAACAACACTAAAATTGTCCTTCATGAAGACATTCATTTCCATTAGGCAAACTTGACTTTAACCAATAGGAGACCTATACCTTAACCTATAGGACAAGATCTTAACCTATAGGAGAAAGAGGCTTCCGATGTCACACAGCAGAGAAAAAATAAGTGCAAAACATAATTTATAGCAGTGGTTCAATCCAGTTGAATGACTGCATACATAATATACTGGTTAAAATGGTATTTCAAAGTCAAAATTCTTCCATAAGCAAACAACAAAGGGCCATATGCTTTTCATTGGCCAAAGGCATCCCATTCAATATTCATAGGAGGATGCTTAATGTTACAAGTAGCATATGGCATATTATGAATAGCTGCCCATAACGCAAAATGCATGTCCCTTTTAAGTAACAAAAAACCTACTGCACAATGCAAGACCCGAGAAATTTGATACAATCATTACAACTGAATTTTTTCCCTCCTCCTTTCTGCATGCCTTCGTGGTGTAACGGTTAGCACACTCGGCGCGTATTCGTGAGGTCCAGGTTCACATCCTGGTGAGGGCATTGCTCATTTTTCACGCCTTTTGCACCATGAAAACCCTAATTTTTCTATAGTAAAATGTAGTGTATGGTAAAACGCACATTGTAATATAGTGAAATGTACAAAAGTAAGGTATCATATATAATGTGTGACGTAATATAAGGTACAGTATAGCGCAAGTATGGTATAATGTACAATATACAATTGTATATATGAATGTTTATTTAGGTAATAACCAAGAATGTGTAGGAGGTCATCGTCATGCAAGTCCTATGTAGCAATAACAACAGTCCGTCATACCATGTTGACAAAGCCCTTGTATGGCCATATATCGATTGATGTTGTTTCAATAAATGCTGGGCCCGGGCGATTGGATGAGGGGGAATTCCAGGGGGTATATTGGTCTGTTCGACTGCCCACCGGATGCTCTAGGCGCTGGATCTCGGAGTCTTGTGCGAGGCTCTCGTGTGGCCACGCCAACTGGCCAAATCTAGATAAGGGTGGACGTGGTGCTATACTGATAAACCGAATGGCAAAGGAACACTGCCCACGTCCTCCGTCGCTTATCGCTTACAGTGGTGCCCGAACTAAAAGGTGGCGAATAATTCTTCACCACCAGGATTTGGCATTGGGTCCCCTAATCTTCAGCTGCCCTTTAAAAGGGGAAGTATATAAGGTATTTTCTTCCTCCTTTCTGCATGCCTTTGTGGTGTAACGGTAGTACACTCAACGCGTATTCGAGAGGTCCAGATTAAAGTCCCGGAGATGGCATTGCTCATTTTTCGTAGCTCCTGCTTCAAAATTACCTAATGACTCTACAAGTTGATATTAAAAAATTGCGAGAATCAGTTGCTGTTATATAATTCTTACAAATGATAAATTTTCTTTTGAAATCAATAGCTGTAGATGTAAATAACAAACTTTGTGGTGATGACTTTCAATCGCGAACGTAAAACTAAGGCTTAATTCTTAGTTCTAAGAGATCTTTACGGCTACTACTGATTTTAGAGGTCAATATTTCCGTTTTTAAGTCTTGAACGAGTTTTATTCAGAACTGAACCAGATCTGGTATTATTCTTGCTGTAAAGAAGGAAGAAAAAATCCTTATACTACATTCTAACAAAGTTACATATACATACTTTAGTTTCACTGCATTGTGTTCCATCTGCCCATGGCATGTGCTGGGTCCGGCATCCTCCTTGAGTAGCATCGTCCATAGTACACCATAGCCTCTTACATTCAGGCATATAAGGGCAGATTCTTGATCTTGGGCCAAACACTAATTCGCACTGACGATCTCGTGGGTAAAGCTGTCCTGGAGGTTGCAAAAATTCATCGTCTTGTAGTAGAAGATTACGGCTGGGCTTATCAATTAAGCAGCGACCATGGCGTCCACTAGTAAAATAATAATAATACAAATGAAAACATTCGAAAAGCATACAAATGAAAAAAAATGAAAAAAAAAAAAAAAAACGGGGAGAAATAAAATAAAGAAATTTCAGGTTAATGCAGAATCTCCCCGGAAAGAGATAAAGTACTATTTTTAGAAGGAGAAAAATTTTAATTTTGGAAAAACTTCAACGCAACAATTATTTAGTAATATTTCTTCGCAGCTCTTCACGAGTTTTCTTTTGAAGAGTATACGATTTGCAGGAAATTCGTTTATTTCGAAACTGTAAAGTCCCAAACTATTTAAATTATACTTTTCTCTTTAGTCATACAAAAATCATCTAATCATCATCCTGAAATGCATTCTGGAATGCTGAAACGACATCCAGAAATGGAACAACGAGCGATCATTGTCATTTACACGTCTTGCAATATAAATAGATTACAGAACGCCTAACGTTTCACAAAATATAGGGTTATGGACGAGTTTCTGTTGTGTTTAAAGACATTTCTATCATATGTGATTGCTGTCACAGGCTCGTTCAAAATCATATGTGATTTTATATGTGATATGTCGCATATGATAGAGGTCTTGGGAAAATGCATCGTATGCATGTTACACACGGGAAAAACCACGACTTTACCGCTCGGCCGCTGTTGAGTTGATAATACCGATAACCGAATACCAATAATTTTGGATACTTGCAGCCTAATCTTGCGATAGTATATAAACGCTGCTCAACGCACACGACTCCAGTTATTTACTAGTTGAAGTATTCAACCTCAGCTGATGAATTATGAAATGTCATTTGAAATTTGAACTTTTATTCCAATCCACTAGTAAAATTTCAGGAAATGAATGTCAAGATTCAAGAATCTGCAGACATATTTTTTTTAATTTTTTTATCTTTTTTTTTTTTTTTCAATATGTGCAACTGTATTTTTTAAAAATGAATTTTTAAAACTGTTGGATTTGGATTTGTCTTAATCAGAAACAGATTTAAGGTTTTATACTATTTGAAACTTTTAATATTTAAATAATTTTATTCCTTTTTTTTTCTTATTATTATTCCAACTTAAAATGTGTGCGGAAATAGCTTGTGTAGGAGGCGCGGTTGAGGGGTAGGTAAAAGCGCTCTTCTGGCGCAAATAGTCATTCGTCGTGCAAGTCCCGAGCCATATTCATTGTTGCCCGAATGCGAAGCTCATTGGTATGCATTTTATCTGTGGAGCTGTTCAAAGGATGTACAGAGAACGATTCCAGAGTTTTCCTTCTGAGCAGCGGCTTTTTTCCGTCCACAGCCCCATATATAAAATGCATATCGACGAATTCCGCTCTCGTGTAGCCACTGAAACCGAATGAAATCCGCACGAGGAATGCTGCATGCAAATTGTAGTAATTAAGCAGCGAATCGTAAGATGGTCTTTCGTTGGGCTTCTCACTTTTATGAAATTATGTCAGACGTGCAAGATGAGCGAATACCAGGAAGACCAAAAATATGAACCTATAAAGGAAGGGTGGTATTTGTGGTGAGCTAGAAAGAAAGAGGATCGCTTAGCAGCACGTGAGGAAGTATCACAAGCTACAGAGATTTCACCAACAATGTTTTGTAGAACAGAAAACATTGTTATTGCTTCGTGAAACTTTATTGAAAAGAACATTTCATGAAGAGGGTGAAATATTTCTGTCTCGAATAATTTCTAGTAACAAACCGCTGAATTAGAGTTACTATCATTGTCAATTCGGTGGGTACGTCTATCTTCCTTGAGACCTTAAAAATTTCGACAAGTACAATTATAGGTGAAGTAAATGTTAATCTCTGCCTCAGAAAGATTGCTGACTTTAGTCAGTGGGACGTTTTACCTCAGCTATCATAAAATCGGTGTCCGCCGATAACATCACGGCAAAAACATCGCGGACGAAAACGTCGCGGAGAAAACAACGCAAGGCGAAACCGTCGTGGTACAAAACATCGTGGGAGAAAACATCGCAAAGAGAAAAACATCGCAGTTCTAAAACATCGTGGTACAAAACATCGTCATCGAAAATAAAGCGGTTCAAAAACTTCGCAGTTTAAAAACATCGCCGTCGAAAATATCGTGGTAAAAAATAAAGTATCTACAAATCATCGCATGACGATAACATCGCAGACATGCTTTTTTCAGGCTTTAATAACTGTAAATGGACATTCCCATAATGATTTGTGAGCGCAAGATGTAAAGAAGGATAATTTTTACTTTCATATTTTTTATTAATATTAAATTTTTGCTGAGAAAATAAGAGGAAACTTAAGCATAGAAAATTAATGCAACTTATAGCACTTAATAGAATTTTAAAAACCGACATAGTAACTAACAAAGACCATTAATAAATCATTTTTTATAAGTTTTTACTGGTAATTTTTCATAAAAAGTATAATCTATTAAGTTGCATTTAATTTTCCATGCTTAAGTTTCCTTCTTATTTTTTCAGCAAAATTTATTAGTTAATAAAAAAAATGTGAAAGTAAAAATTATCCTTCCTTACATCACTTGCGCTCACAAATCATTATGGGAATATCTATTTACAGTTATTAAAGCCTGAAAAAAGCATGTCTGCGATGTTATCGTCATGCGATGATTTGTAGATACTTTATTTTTTACTACGATATTTTCGACGGCGATGTTTTTAAACTGCGAAGTTTTTGAACCGCTTTATTTTCGACGACGATGTTTTGTACCACGATGTTTTAGAACTGCGATGTTTTCTCTTTGCGATGTTTTCTCCCACGATGTTTTGTATCACGACGTTTTCGCCTTGCGTTGTTTTCTCCGCGACGTTTTCGTCCGCGATGTTTTTGCCGCGATGTTTTCGGCTGTAACCCATAAAATCTATACATGAGCCAACCGGACTTCATGTTCTTCATTAAATTAAACCAGTCTTTAACATACACATCGTTTATACCTGAAAAAGGCCCTTAAGCGGTTATCCGAGACATCCGAGGTCTGAATAAACATAGTTATTTACAAAAATGCAAAATGTTGCTAATAAGTAAGGCTACTGAAGAGCAGGGAGGCGACATACAAAGACCGTAAAATGAAACTGCTTGAAATAAATCTGAGGAAAAGAAATGATTGCATTATTTTTAAATGCCCTTCATCTTTATTTTTTCGATGATCATTACCGATTCTAAAGGGCTGTTCCCATTGGGGTTTATCTGAGCTAACGGAGACAACTGACGTAGCCGGCCCATCTCAAAAATCAGTTTTCACATAGGTCAGCAAGTTGAAAAATCTTAACTGCAGGCATAGCGGAGCTAGTCGACATATGGAACTGACTCCGTTAGCTAAGATAAACACCAGTGGAAACTGCCCTTAAAAGTAACATGGCTATGGTAGCAATTTGTAAAACCTAAATAATTCACCATTTTCCTTTTTACTCTGACAATTAGCCACAGAGGACATTTGAAATCGATTACACTATTACGCACATAATATAAAGATACTATTGGTAAAGGAGCACGATTTCTGCTTCAAAATGCAGCTATATTTAAAAAATAAAACTACAGTTTCTTGCAAGAATAGCCTTTAAAGTGACAAAGGGTCGCATACGGCTCGCAAGCCGAAAATAAGTAATAATAATAAAATAATAATATATATCTGCCGGTTGGTCATGTCTGGAGGCTGCTCGTACTCATGTGTGAAGCTGTACACACAGAAATTAAAAAGGGTGCTTAAGAATACTCTTATAGACTTTGTACAGCTTAAATATTCAATATTGTTGCATGCGTACGGGTTCGTAATAGATTGAATGAACAAGTCTGATAAGAGGTTAATAACATTTATTCATATCAAAAGAAATATATCGGAACTCTGGAAGTTATCCTCAGAGATATTCGTAGTATTTACAATATCACGCAATAATAATCAGTATTTGTACTTCAAACTACTAAAAATGTTAAATAGAACGCAATGCACAACTCATTTAAAGAGAAAGCTAATCCGATTTACCTCAATTCACGCGGAACTACAACACGCAACAACAATAACTAAGCAACTAACCCCGAGATGCTCTCTCTCCGGCCTTTTATAGCTTTCAACCGGAGAGAGAAATTTCCAGTACTTTCTGTTTCTCGATGGCAATAAAAGTATGCAATTACGGTTACAGCTAACATAGCGGTCAATCACATTTATTCAATTTCAATATCAGTTAAAGAGATACCTATTTATTAAATGTTAAATGCACGTGCTCCTGTATTTTTACTTTTCCGACATAGCTTTCTCTCAAAATTTGTCTCGCGCCGCGATGCACGAGGAAATACAATAGTTTTAATTATAATTCTACTAAAATTATGCATCTAAATACAAAATTCGTAACAATATGTTAGCAGCCAAAACGCTAATGCTATCAACTGAAAGATGATATGTTTGTTTTTAACATAAAAACAGGAAAACTTTGAAGAAGATGAAACTTATATTTTAAACTGTATTTTAAGATAGATAAATTCTGTTTGTTGGGTAAAGAAATGTACAAAAGTAAAGAATTTCTGAAGCAGCATGTTTCTGCTTAGTTTCAGAAAGTGTATACTGCATTTAAACACCATTAAATATTTTCAGAAAAAGTAATTAATACTTTGTTATGAAATTAAGGGGTAAAATGTAAAGGTAATAGGTTTATTTAATACTTACTGAATTTACTAAACCTTTTACCTTGAATTATATGTAGTTCACTAACTGATAACATTAAGAAACTCACTATTTTTAAAATTCTTTTCCGAGAACCATCTAATTAGAGGGAATATAAACTATGAAGAGAAAATGTCCACTACAGCTTTCGGTATGTTCAGGTTTCGAAACATTCACATTTATTCTACTCATATTACTTTTCTTTTGAATTTGTTTTTATTCAAGTATAAGCTTTAGAATACTGTTAACTTATTTTCAACAAATCAGTCTGAATTTAATTATTTTTATTTCAGATGTTTCCAAGTCAAAAAACTTGGAAGAAATCAACACATTTTCAAATGTCTACTTGCAATGAGTGACAAATAAAATATTATTTTTCGCTAGATGTATTGTAAGATCTGTCTCTACTATTCCACATAAACTAAATTAGATCCTACAATGAACCTGGCGAAATCTCTCACAGGCGTGAATAAATTCCAACACAGAAGAAGTGTGAAAATAACCCTTTATTTAATTCAGATAATTAACAGAAAGGCACGATCTTTGTGCTTTACAATGGCACCGTCAACTTGCGGTGAAACTGAAACGTAAAATACAATTCAAGTCAAAAATCTAAAATAAAATAGTGCTGGATTAGCACGTTAAGTTAGCCTAAGAGGTTGACTCAACGAAAACCTAACAAGCGCGACGATAATCCGAAACAGCAAGACAGCCAGATAGCAAAGAAACGTACACTGGCTAGCGAAAACATGCTCTGAATAAACTTAAGAGATTCTCCGTTTAAATACTCACTTCACTTACCTTTAAATTTACATACTGGCGAGAAAATGCGAGGGGAAGTCGAGGAGTTCAGGAAAGGTATCAAACTTAAAATAAATTTGTTATGCAAAATAAGGGAAACCCTACAGTATTACTTTAAAAAATCACCTTTGTTTAAGTAGTAATTTAAATATATGAGTCATTTCATAAAATTTGAAATATAATTAATTTAAGTACTTTATTGTAAATACTTGTAACTGAGAATACTGGAGGTGCAATCAAATGGATAAGGAGAGATTTCTAAAAGTATGAAACTATTTCTTATCATGTTTTGTGAAACAATCTTACTATTTGTAAATTCTAGACAGTATGCATTGTAATAAAATGAAAAACGGCTAGGCAAAAAATGCGTGCCCAGTGGGAGGCATGTCTTCGAGCAGGGCTCTCTAGGAGAAACTTCCTCGGATATTCCTGCTATGCATGGGAAAAATCATGAAAATTGCCAAGCAGCCAGCTCATTGAGAGTATTTGAATCCGAGTCGAACTACTAGAGTTCAGTGATTCTACTAATATACCTGTCTACCATTCTACTAATATACCTTCTACTAATATACCTGTCTACCTTTAAGAATCATCTTGGTTCAGATACAAAATTCGTGTTTGGAGAACAAGTGGTCTCATTAACTTTCAATTTTAGAAATATTAAAATTTTACGTACTCAAAAAATGATGTTAATTGCTGGCGGCTGCATTCGGACCATGTCCATGGATTACTGTTATAATCAAGCATCCTAGCCATCACGTGCAGCTTCTTTTCCCCGTTAGCCGGTTTCGAGCATTTGGAATCGTCGTCATGTTGTAAGCTCATCCTATGAAAAGAAATATAACAGATTTCATTTAGCCATAATTATGTTTAGCGTTAAATTTATTTGGTAATTAAAAAACATAAATACTTTATCATAAGTGAAAACAAGTTTTTTCCCCGCGCTTTCGTTTTTAAGCCGAATTAGGAAAATTTATGTAATTTCTGGTTTCTACCAAACTTTTTTTTCATGCGCAGATAAAAATGTAATACTTCTTCGGAACCTTATGTTCTGTGTAGCAGCGTACTTAAGAATATTATTTTAAATTCAGTGGGAAATGTATCATACTCGGTTACTTCTAAAATAATCTTAAAAATAGCGCTTTTAATATGGAAGAAATGAAAATGAAGGCAGAACACTTATCGCTCATAAGCAACAACCCATAAATTTAGCAAATTAAGACGCTATTGATTTCGACTTTTCTGTAAATCTGTTTTGCCCGATAATCTTATTCATGAACAAATTAAAAATGCTTCTAGTTCTAAGATCTTAGAGGTAAACTTAAATAAATACAAGTCACATGTGAAGCTGATGAAACACGCATATTATTTCGGAGCATATTACCGTTCTGGCGCTACCATGCTGAGCATAAAATGTGAGCCGCGATGGTCATAGGTGGCCGTTAAAGCTTGTTCTTTTTATCTCATAATAATGCAAATTCGTGAAGAAACAGTCAGCTAAAATAAGGCTAAAGGTAAAGTGTGGGCTGTTTGAGGAAATACATTTAGAGATAGCTAAATGATGACTGACAGCTTTTATATTTTCAGTTTTCATCGAAATCAGCACGCACAGCAATAATTTTAACAGCGAGATTTTTCTCCCCCCCCCCCGAATCGAAAGATGGCATTTTCCCAGTGAAATATCACTTAAGAAAGGTTTGTCCAAAGCGTCAAACTGAGTCTTCACCTCCATTGAACTTAGTAGAGGTTAATTTTTCAAACTGAGTATCTTTATCTAATTTTGATTCCGTTCAAAAAGAAAAATCGTTAAGAACTTTTCGAAGATTTCTGTATGCTGACAAATAAAGATTTCAGTATTGATAATTCCATTTTCTAAATACATAGATTAATAACTTACTTTAAAAAACAAATATAACAGCAATTAAATTAATATGATGAAATACATATGTTTCGGACACGTAAATGAATTAAGTGCAGCACATACAGGTTTGAATATCAAGAATGGTAATGTTTAGCTTAATAAATACAGCAAAAGTTGAAATTTAAGCATGAAAGGTTAAAATGCACTTAAAATGAAGAAAATAAATATATTTTTTTCTATTTTTTACTGGCACATAAACAGGAAATAAGTATTCGCGTCGCTTACTAAGAGATAAATAAACATTAATTAGCATGAGAACCATTTGGTACACATCTCAGCTCTTTTCTGAGGCAATAATACTCATCGAGTACACGACTGAAAATATTAGTTGAAAAAATAAATTGTATTCGATACAATTCCTGTTAAATTAGACCGTAAATTTTGTGATGAGAATTTTGCAATAGTTCAAGAAAGGGGAACCAGCATTTTAATCATTATGATGATATGTTCGCTCTAGACAGCATTATCAATATTAACACACTGACCGCGTGGGGGTCACTGGTGGCCAGCACTCGACTTGGCTACAGCGTCGTGGGGTCCAGTGGTGACCGGTGACGCGACCAATAGTAAAAATATACAATTAGAGTGAATATCGATGCTGATAAAATTTTAAATAATATCATTGTTACTGTAATGGTTCGAAGAATAATAAATCGCAAAACTGGTCTACAGCACCTTGGGAGGTCACCGGTGACCCCCACCAAGAAAGATGTATTAAACACGATTATATAACTCACCTTATCTTCTGTAGATAATATTCAACATAATAAACATCAAATAATAAAAATTTCATGTTGGCGTCATGGGCAAACTACATAAAATTCACGCGGTAGTCAACGTGTTAATCTATGCAAAGAAACCAAATAAACAACAGGAATTGGTCCAAGAGTAAATTTGTACTTCTATAGTGGTGGGACAATTATTTTTAAGTTTTACAAATAGTTAAGCTTGAGCTAAACACTATCTTTCCTTCTCTTTGATTCACATCACATATACTCCTTCAAACCAGAAAGTCGTATAAATCAAGGCCATGCGGAAAAATATTTAAAACTTCGATAGGTTTATAAGGAATTACTGCATTTCCTTGTACATGCTTTGTAGCGTAAGTGGTTAGCTCGATAAGTTGGCAACTGGAAGATCCGTTCGAATCCCGGTGAAGGCACAGTTAATTTTTTATGATTCCAGTCAGAAATGTCTCCATTCACGACTCTTGATCAATTAATTGGTTGAAGGGATCGGCATTCAACAGATATGTCATATTTGTATTGTCGTTAAAGGACAGTCCAAAGGAACAAATCATGCAGCTCAAGTTTATAAATAGTTTTGATAATGGATTTCAATGGCCAAGATACTAATTCAGTACAATGGTTAAGTTGCCCCATTATCAGTGTAAAAGTTAAACATCCATAATGTCTAATGGTCTCTACAGATTAAGCACAGCTCATTCCTATGGGAATAAACTGCCTCCTGTAAATTTAGCGCTAGTTTATATCGGTCTGAGGAAGCAATATTCCTATTTGCCGTTCGAGTTGGTAAGTAACTTCAAATACTTAGATGATATGAAAAATCAAGTGTGGTATTTAAGGGAAACTTGTTCTTGGAAATTCATAATACTAAAGAGGCAGTTTGCTTCAATTTTATTAATGTATTCTCAAAATGTTAATCGATCGTTTTGTATTGTATTCCAACAGGATAGAGTGTAATTTCTCTATGTGTGCAGGTTGATTAGGTGCTAGTGAGATCACTCTTCAGCAACAAAGAAATAACCCTACTTGAAGAACCGTTAGGTATGCATAGTTAATAACAATTATTTTATTGGTTATACCTTAAGAACAGTTTAGTAGAAGAGTTATATGATTAAACAGAAATTTCCTTTCAAATTTGGGAGTGAAAAGGAAAACAATACATCTGGATACGTACATGTGAGAGCAACATAAAGAAATACGAGAAGGTTTCAGTTAAATTATATGAAACGTAGCTCTTAGAGCCAACTACTGACCGAAAAATATAAGTAAGTGAGAAGCGAATTCTTGAAACGCTAACAGCAAAGAAGGGTTAGAAGTAGGATTAATAACCAGAACTTTAAGGATGTGAAACACCTCCAGGAAATTCAGTTCGCCAACTAAAGAAGCTTTTTGAATAATATCGTCTACAGGAAAACGGGAAATGTAATTTCTGTCCAGTAATGAATCTTAGAAACAATAGCCCTGTTCCGGAATCCAATCCACACCCTCAACCTCAAACTACCAGTCAGCCTCTGTTAACTACTATACACACTACTATACTATCTTAGGGACAATAAGACTATAGTACATTTGCAGCTACTTGCAAGCAAATGTTTCCTTTATGCTCAGGAATTGTCTTGGATAAAAAACAAAGTTCTTTAACTGCTCGGTACTTTTATTAACTATAAAAAGACGAAAAAGAGAATGAACTTCGTAACAGAGGTATGGGAGAAAGAATTGGAAAGTATGTTTTTTTCTTACCCGCTTCCAAAAGTCTTATGCAAAGCTCAAACTATGGCAGATGATTTTGCTAGATTTAGAAACGTTATTCCATGCTTTAATTTCCTTCTACTGACAGCCTTCACTTAATATATGCATATTCATAAACAATATATAATCGCAATCATTCATCAATGTCAAATTTCAGTTTGGTAAGGAAAATACCTGGAAAATTAAACCAAATCTTCATTCTCAAAAAGTAATCTTTCCCAGAGTATCTTTCAAAAACTCCAAACGGTTACTGAGATGTTAACGAGAGAGAAAACAGAAAACGAAACTCAAAATATAATTAATTAGAAAAAAGATGAAAATTAGCAAGGAGGCTTGGTTGGTCTTTCACCAACTACTGAGATACCAAATATATCGAAAAAGTCACTAAAGTGCACAAAAAGCTGAATCGTGGGGAGACGAAACAGAAAATTCAGCTGTCCTTGAGAAGGAAAATTTCCGCATATGCAATTCCTTCCACAGCGGTCGGTGGGCTGAGGCGTCAAAGGTCAATTCAGGGTCGAGGTTGTTTCCTTCTTAAAGAACAGAAAACTTAATAAATGAAAAAGAGTTGTTCATCTCAGTGGAGGATTTCACGCTTCCTAGTTAAAACGCTCCCTGTTAAATAGCTTCATCCGAAATTTTTTAAAAACTCATCATTAGAGTTTCCGGTCTGCATCTGTGATATTCTCGAATACACATTATGCATCAGTAATCGGACACTATATTAATAATTTTAATATTACGGTACTATAATTATGAAACTATTAATTACTGTAATATTATGGTGGGAATTAAAAACATATAAATTTTTGTCAAAAAGATTTTTAGAGCATCACATCAAAAGTATTTACTGGACATCTCATTTTTAGAAATACATTATTAGGAAATAGCTAATTATTATTTAGATTGAATTAACTTTGCTGACGATATCTAATCAGTCTAAAACGAATATGCCATGTGATCATGACAACAGTCTGTTACTTTTACAGTAGCACTTCAAGGCTATCCTCCTGAAGCCATAATTCATAAAAAAGACGATGATTGCTGCAGAAAAAAGGTTGAATCCGCGAATTCGCTAAAATTCCATAGTTTTGTCTGTGTAGTCATGACGATACACAGCACAGTCTAAATAAGGGCGGGTCGCTACTACAGAAAGAAATACGAGAAGGTTTCAGTTAAATTATATGAAACGAAGCTCTTAGAGCCGTTAAACATTGAAGTGTCTCTTTTAAAGTAACAGAGTATATAGAAAGTGAATCTATCTTCAAATGCTGAGTAATCTTAACTATGCATATAAACCAGAACCTAAGCCAATGTAAAATATAATCTTTGGTGGGGAGAGAGGGGAATAAAAAAACTGATTGATGTAAATTTTTTATGAAATTTAAACATCTTTTTTCATATAATTATTTTTCTGTATCTGGGTTGCGTTAAATATTTATTAAACTACCAGGTTCTAAATGTTTCTGAACTTCCCCCAAAAAGCTAGCGATTAATTCCCCCTCTTCCCATACAAATTTTGCTATCCTTTACATGCTTTTGGGTAGAGTTTCTCAGATTTACAGCACAAATTATTGAGAAATGCCATACAAACTCTAAAATATTCTCAGAGAAATATTTTAAGCTTGAAAAATGTTTTCATATTCTGCGCAAGCGAGAGAAAGATTTTAGATAGCTTCTGAGTTTCAAGATAAATTGAGATTTCAAACGAGTTACTTCGTCAAGAAATACTTTTTTTTCCCCTCTATATCTATCCATTCCTCTTACACTTATGAAAGAATATATTATAAAGATAGAAAGCTAAAATTTACCTACTTTAAACATAAATTTGTATAACAAATTATAAGTGAAATACATACACGTGACCCAATTCATGCGCAATCGTAAAAGCAGCACTAAGTCCATTGTCTTCTATAATCGCGCAGCTGTTTAACGGATGGCAGACCAAACCCGACTGAGCGAGACCTGTAACATAAATAAAAATATTGGTATCATTATGATGCACAGAAAAAATTATTATTCCTATAATATATATGATATATGCAAAATAATTTTTCTAAAACCACAAATGACCTTTATTTCCTACGAGGAAAAGAAAAAAAAAATACTTGCAATTTTAAATTAAGCTATTGTTATTGAAATTACAGAAGTTTGTCTGACAGCTTCCTGCTAATCGTTAAAAACAGATTTTCGTAGAAAATTTCAAAAACACAATTTTAGTAAATAAGCAAGGAACTGGGAAAAAAAATTCGGAGGAGACAGTCGATTTCAAGTAGTGCAAAGAAAACATCCTATTTCGAATCATTTAAGAAAAGTAAATTTCTGAAGAAATACAGGGAAGATCTGTAAAAAACGCCCCAAATCTGATTTTTTAAAATGATTAAAAAAACCTCGATGACAAGAATCTGTCAAATGTAAAATGAAATTACTCTTTTTAGTATTTTTAACATCATTTTTCTACAAAGCGAAATACTTTAACTATGAAAAACAATTTGTTTCGAAAACTAGTATATCTCGGTGAAGAAGCTTTGAAGACTTTGTTTGTATTTTTTTAAAATTATGTAAACTGAAAGCCGCCAAGTCATTTCTTTCAAAAGGAAAATGATGAAATGAAATTATTATAACAGGAATTAGCCCAAGAAGTTGCTTGTTTAACTTTTGCATACAGTTTGAAAGAAATATTGCATCTTTTTTTAATTTATGACTGCATAAAGCAAGCGTTATTTTCAACGAAACTGAGAAATTACTAAAATACAGTACTTGTAATAATATGTGCACAGGAAGTTGCTCATTTAACTTTTGCATACAGTTTGAAAAAAATATTGCATAGTCTTTTAATTTATGACTGCATAAAGAAAACGTTATTCTCAACGAAGCTGAGAAATTACTAAAATATACTTGTAAATATAATTGTATAATCATTTTTCAGTTTTATATAACTGAACCTTTCCACTAAACTTTCCTTAGGCAGTCTTAGCGCAGTCCAGGACGGCTCCTGTAGCTCTGCCTGTATCTAGAACAATGTCAACAAGACGACTGAGAGTGTTCTGATACCTTTACATATACCAGCTATCTCAAGAATAACAATAACTCTGTCTAAATATGCGCCCTTATATCTCGGGGCTCATAGTGTGTTTGCTTAGTACTCATAGTGTGCAAACGTTGCGACGGCACTTTTTTTTCAGTTTTCTCTCGTGCCATTAACAAACGAAAATAATGTGTAAGGCGTTAAGTCTAGCTGTGTATCTACATTAGAAGAATTAAATTTCTTTTTAGCTTCGAAGCAATGTTTGCAACTGGGACTGCAAGACATTTTTGGTAAGCCGTCTGCAAATATGCGAGCTGCCGGTCTTTTCTTGAACTCTTTTCGAAGTCGTTTCAAAATTGGATGATCAGTATGTACTGAAATTCTGTGACAATAAAATCTACTATGGCGTTCACAACAGCCAAGAAATGTTTTTCATGCCAATCAAGCTTTGACAAGATTATACTAAAATGTAATTCTCTTGATCGATCGTCGGCTTCTTGAATCCATAAGTAATCTAAATTAGGATCTGTGTATCCTACTATCTGTACTTCTAAGAACGGATTTCTACCTTGAAGATACGCCAAACAGAAAATACTTTTACCAACTCTTTCATAAGTTAAAATTCTATTTCCACGTAAACAGTTAGCTTATTTCAGTGTACCTATGCGTTGGTCTGAAATTCAAGGAGAATGCTTTTATAAGTACACCTATGTAATGGCTGAGCCATAGAAATATGCAGATCATCAGGATAGAACTTAGTATTTCAAACTTTCGAACTAGTATATTTTAGATCTTCGGATGGATCTCCTACTTTAACTAACACCTATTAGTATAATAGCAGTCTGAACCTTTATTTATAAAATTGTATTCGGAATGTATAATTAGCCAAAGATGTAACAAGAACCGAAATGAATGCTGAAATGCATCAGTTTGCTTTGAACTACAACAAACTCGCTTTAAACTAGAAAGTGAAGTGAAATTAAATGTATTTCTTGCGCACTTTATAAATAAATTAAATTAAATGCACTTAATAAGTTCTATCACTTTATAAGGTGCTTTTCTCACTTTCTTAACATACCTTCGTAGTGTAGTGGTCACCACGCTTGGCACGTATTCGAGAGGCCCGTGGTTCGAGTCTTGGCGAAGGCATTACTTATTTTTCATGTCTCCTACTTCGAAATAATCTAATGTCTTTACAGTGGCGCCCGAACTAAAAGGATGTTGGATGATGCTTCTCCTCACCCAGGATTTGGCGATTGGGTCCCCTAAAAACCCTAGTCGCCCTTTAAAAGGGAGAGTATATAAGGTATTTCTACGACTTCCCTAGCGTGCCTTCGTGGTGTAGTGGTTCTGCACGTTGGGCCGGTATTCCAGAGGTTTGTGATTCAATTCTCGGCGAAGGTGGTTGCATATTTTTCATCTTTTCTGCTTCCAATTAACCTAATGACTCTACAATACTAGCTGGTGGGTGAAGATTCTCCACCCTCAGGATTTGGCGATTGGGTCCCTTAATCTCCAGTTGCTCTTTAAAAGGGGGAGATTATTTGGTAATTCTTCCGCCTTCTTAGCATACCTTCGTAGTGCACGCTCGGCGCGTACTCGAGAGGCCCGTGATTCGAGTCCCGACAAAGGCACTGGTCATTTTTCATCTCTCCGGTTTTGAAATAACCTAATGTCTCTACAACTTAGCCAAAATAAAATGTGACATTTCTTTTTATTTTGCAGGAAAGTGTGTTCACATGTTAAAGGCAGTTCACATGTTCCCTTTTGATACTTTATTATTTTAGTCTAAAAAGGTTTTAAATTGTATTGGTTTTAAATTGTCGCTGTTTTATATGTAACACATATTTTCAAATGCTGTTCAGTCTTGAAATATCGGGAGCTATGCCGATGGCCACATCACGCGCAATCGTAAATCCGCGAATCAATTTTGAGTATAAAAACTAATTAACTAATTAATCAGCTGTTTGCAAATAACTTTAATCGGTAACATGAGCAACTGATTAACGCTGTGACTCGAAACGGTTCATACCACGGTAAAAAATTATAAAATTTATAGTTTATAAATCCAAAGTGGTTAGTGACAAACTGAAAGCTGTCTAAGTTTCGCAGTGATTTGTTAGATACAAAAACAATATCAAAATTACATTTAAATTACTAAACAAGTTTTTCAGCGCAACTAGAGTTTTAGCACAGCTTCAAGCTATGCTGGAACTAGAACTGCCTACATTTCTATTTAATCTCTGAAAATCGCAAAATATAGCTGTGAGATCAAAACTACAAGATACCAAGTCATACAAGTCATACCAAGCATTTATAAAATAAGAGAAAAAGCCGAGATGGTTTTACTTTTATTAAATTCTATATTTGTAATCCCTAAAATCATCGTTTGCTAAAATATTATAAATAGTTCTAAATAAACCTGCATTTTTTATGTTGTATGTACTATGTACATAATTCTTACAACAAAATAAACTCGAGCGAAAATATTCAAAAGAGAAAAAACTAAACAGCCATAGTACTATATTGTGTTAACTGATACTGTGAGTTTATATTATCTATTTAAAATATCGTCTATCAAAACTGACATTATTACCGCCTTATATTAGTCACACAACCTCTGATCGACAATAGGCCACATATGGGGGACTTTCAATCAGGCCGCAGAGGAAAAATGTATAAAAATTTTCCGCTTTCAAGAGCTTCTATTTATTTGAAACTTATTTATTAGCAGTAGCATTAGATGCAGCATATTACATTGTTTAAAATGTTACATTTAAAAAATGAAGTACTTTCCTAACACAATATCTATGAAAATTGATTAGTATTTGTAAGTGGAAGCAGATGCTGAAATGAAATATTTAATATCAAAAAAGCTCTCTGGTATTTTGATCATCGTATTCAATCATAAAATTGTGTTAAGATTCTCATATGATAGATGATATCGATGAAGATATTTATTTCATTTCATCACGGGGAAAAGCATTCAAACAAATGTGCTTTCAAATGAGCATGAGCAGATAAATATAATTTGTCTCAGTTTAGAAAAATATTCTTTTGGAAGCATTTAAGTTTATATTAAATTTCCTTTCTTGACTTTTTCGTTTGGTTTTTCATTACATTGCAGATCAATTAGTTTGAGGGTTCAGCTTCTTTATATGGAATAAATGCCATGGGCCATCATAAGCGTTTGTAAGAATCTTAAGAATTTTTCAGCTTCAAAATCTGCATATAGTTCTTTAAGTAATAATCGTAGTTTCTTGGTGCATCTACCATGGAAAAGCACTTAAGGGATGGCTGCCTAAAGGTAAGAATGTCTTCGTAGAGGATTTTCTAAGGAAAACTAACTTGGCTTCTCATTACATATGAAGAAAAGCACAAAACTTGTAACCAAAAACCTCATTTTTGTATGTAGTCCACCTGATGGTCGAAATTTGAAACGGAGCCTAATTACCAGTATTAGAAGTTTTACTGCATGACCGCTGGTGAAGAACCGAAATTGAAGAGAACAGAAATAAAATCTGAATAGTAAAAAAAAATTCCAGTTTTCGAGATTGATTTGTAGAGATAAATTATGCATAAAAAACTTCAACATATATGTACATAGATACACATATAAATATATTTAACAAAGGAAGAAAGGAACTATTGAATACTTTATGATCAATATTAATATACACTGGTTATCATAAATTACAGAAAAATCATAAATATGACGATTACCCAAAACGTTATATATAGAATTAAAGGAAACTGACCCAGAGTATACAAAACGTAGTAAGGCATAAAATAACACGAAAAGAAATACACAATTAGGATGTTATCCAGATTAGCCTATGTATGAAATGAACAAATCGGATCTGCCAGTTTGGTATAGGATAATTACTTTCAGTATGGAGTATAATCTCCCTTAGAAGCAATATAACACATACGGCGA